TTACTCTAATCCTATTAACTGTGTAACCCCAGGCAAATAACTTTTCCCAACCTCAGTTTCATCATCTGTAAAATGAGAGAATAATAATAACTTGCCTTATCGGGCAGTTGTGAGGGTTAAATGAATTAACACACATGTAAACTACTTAGGGTATTTCCTAGAAAGTGTCCTAAATCTTCCTTGGAGAGTAAGCTCTCTAAGATTGTTCCTATTGCCATGGGCCTGGTGTTCTCACATTGACTTACTCATTGTATCTAGAGGCTGACCATCTAGTTGGAGCGGCCAAATATTTACAAGAGAATAACTTGAAAGATTTCATAACCTGGAGCAAACTAATAGGTACTGAGAGGATAGGGAATGAAGATGTTACCAAGAGTGAATCAGCAGGATGCCCCTCAGGAGTAGGAGAGAACTGAATTTGGTCTCAAAGGATAAGTAAAAGTGGATAGAAACGAAGTGTTTGCCTGGGCGTTGGAGGACAGAAAATATGGCAAAAACAAAGACTCTTAGAATTTTAGAGCTGGAGGGCCCTCAATCCATTCAACATGCTGTAAAATAACTAACAACAAAGAACATAAGCCTTCTGGCCAAAATTCTAAAGCTAGCTGCAGACGTGGTCACTGAGAAATTCTAAAACCATGGCTTCTAACCCACTGAAGCTTTTCTACAATAAAATTAGGCAGTAACAGGTCATATGGCCTTTTCGATGGTCTTTTTTCCAATGTTGAACGTCTTAAAAAAAATTTTTTTTAAGGGATCAAATAAAAACAATCAAGAAAAACAAAAACCTAAATGCCTACAGTTAATTCTCTTCTTGAGACACATACAGATATGCTTCTATTTCTACGTTTTCCACAAGGATGGCAAGATTTCACTTGTTTTAATGTAAATCCTTTGTATATTTTCACTGAAGTAAAACATATTTCTTATATTCTTTTACTCCTGTAATTTCATAATTTATGTTTTTCACCCTAAAATCTTAATAGTTTTTCTGCTTCAGTATACTTTCTATTTCCTCCAAATAGACTGAGAAAGTAAAAAATGCCTTTGAATTTATTATCTATTCTTGACAACTGTTAGAACAACTTTAATCCACCCTACTGAAGCTCAAAAGCTGTTGATTGATTGGCTGACTTTCGAAAAGAATGGCCAGGAAGGTAAAAGTATTTTAAAACCTCATGGTATGTCTTCAGGAGTTAGGATTTTGAGATTTATGAAAACTAGGTTAATAGTAGGAGCCCTGGTGGTGCAGTGATTGAGCACTCGGCTGCTAACCAAAAGGTTGGCCCAGGGGTGGATTATCCAATACGCAAGGTAAACATGGTGTTTACCTTGTTTATTAAATCATCTGTAGTGAGTAATTTCGAATTTTTTCACCACATCAAATCTACTTGTACGTATGGCTGACACCTGTCTCTCTCCCAACCCCACAGCACCTTCCTACAGAATTAAAGCCTCTTTTCAAATTTACAATCCCTGACAGGGGCGGATGGCCCAGTAAGTAAGGTAAGCATGGGTTTACTCGTGCTACTTACTAACCAAGATGTGGTGAAACCCATGTGAAATAATTGTTCACTACAGATGATCTGGTAAGAAAGGTAAACACTGTACTTACCTTGCCTATTGAATAATCTGCCCCTAGGTCTGTGGTTTGGGCTCGCTAGCAGCTCTGCAGGAGAAAGATGTGGCAGTCTGCTTCTGTAATGATTATAGCCTTGTAAACTCTATGGGGCTGTTCGACTCAATGGCAAAGGGTTTGGTTTGGTTTTTAGGTTAATGGTATTTTTAAAAGAGAAGCATGGCTTTGTTCTAGAAATCTTTTTGGTTTTCAAATGGCTTTTTGGTTCATTTTCTTGGTGTTTATTAGGATAAACTCAATGGTTTCTAACACTTTATTTTCTGAACTTGCTGAAAAACAGGGAGAAAGCCTCAAGTGTCACCACTACGCTAGGTCCTTCTAGCATCTGTTTGCATATTCCCAGGTCTTCATTCACCCACACTAGGAAGAAAGGTCAGTTAAGCACTTGGCTGCTAATTGAAAGGTTGATAGTTTGAACCCACTCAGGGAAAGAGGTGGTGATCCGTTCCTGTAAAGATTACAGCCTAGAAAATGCTGTGGGGCAGTTCTGTTCTGTCACATGGAGTTGCTATGAGTTGGAATCAACCCAATGGCACCTAATAGCCGTACAACAGGAAGAAAGGTGACCGAGCTAACTGCTTAACCTAAGAACTTTCATAAATATCATATAAATGTCCCTCAGTTTGGGTGCAATAACACCTTTGCTTTGGCCCTGGTCTTTCCTTCATGACTCAGACTAAATTTCTTAGTAGCATGTTCCAGAGTCTTAGAGGCAGAACCATTCTGAAATAGCCGTTTTTAAATCACTTTATTGATCGCTTTATTGAGGCAGAAACCCCAAAACCTTCTCCTAGCAGCTCTCTCAAAAGTCCTACTCAGCACATACTTGTTTCAAACTTACTTTTTACTAAAACTTAGCCATCTTCCAAGATAAAAAGGTTATAGAATTCCCCCACTCTTCAAACCATTTGTTTACATTTTGTATTTGTAAACTTGCCATCTGAATGTCTGTTATTTTTGAAGAGTTGGATTGGACAGCAGAGGTCAGAGGCTCCCTTACTGTCAAAGTGTTATAAGCAGTCACTTTGGAAACTAACCTCAGATGAGCAAAATAGAGAAATGAATCTACAATGTGTGGCCAGGTAGCAGGTCCATTGCTGTCTGTTGTCAAGACTGGGATCTTTATGGTTTTCATTGTGCTAAGTTATCAAGGTTGGAGGGAGTACACTTGGTAGTTTGTGGTGAATCATATTGCATGGGTTTAAATCCCAGCTCTGCCACTGTTCCAGGTGTCTATTTCTATGTAACAACCCCCGAAGGCAAACTTTTATTATTATCTTTTATGATTGCTGAGGACTGACTCAGTTCCATTAGGCTGTTTTCTCTCTAGTCCTCTCATGTGGTGTGGTTAGGCAGTGGATGGGGCTGGATTCATCTTAAAGGCTTGCAAACTCACACCTGGCAGTTAATGCTGGCTCTTGGCTGGGTCCTCAGCTGGCACTGTCAGCTGGAACTCTTACACTTGGCCTTTCATGTGGCCTGAGCTTCCTCACAGCATGGCAGTTGGGTTCCAAGGGTGAGTTTCCCCGGAGAGTGAGGTAGGAGGAAGTTGCGTCTTCTTTATGACCTACACTCAGAAGTAATGTAGCCTCACTTCTGCTGCATTCATTCATTAGAACTGAGTCATTAAGGAAAGCCCATATTTAAGAGGTGGGTTGTTAGACTCCACTTCTTGATGGGAGAAGTTTCAAAGAATTTATGGACACATCTTAAAACCACCATAGCCACTTATAATCTGGAACACCTCTCTGTCCTTGGCTGTCCTGGTCTGTAAAAAACGGATAATGAAAGTTAACTTACCTCACAGGTTCTTGCGAGGATTAAACAAATAAAGAACGATATCCGGCACCCAGTATCTGTTAGCTTACATTTTTATCATGCCTTCTGCAGATAAGAATTGATGTTGATGGTGACATCAATAATGGTATAGTTCCAAGCAGATATAGCCTCTAAACTCCAAAACTCTACCAGTGGCATTTGACAAACCCCAGTGCCTGTGGTTCTTATTCCTGTGGGAACAGAGTAACTATATATGGTCTGAATTCTTTGGTTCACCTCATTTTAGTGACAGTTTCCAGATATAGGTCAGTCCCTTTAAACCTGGCCCCATTTATGGCAATTTATTTCATTATAGGATAAAGCAGCTAGAATCATGAGTAATAATTACTGTGTCTGCAGTGTTTTTATTTAACACCTTAGCCAAGTAATCCTCACCTCGCCCTAGTGAGTAAGTTTGGATGAGCACCCTACCCTCTTCCGTGATGAGGAAACCAGGATCTGGGTCAAGTGGTTTGTTCTACATTCTGCAATAAGGCAAGAGCCCGCTGGAGTTAGCAGCTGGGAATCCTGATTCTTTGGCCCCTCCAACATTCCGAAATAACATGCAGATTAATACCCTGTCATTGATCAGTATACAGTGCCAGTTAATACACTATGTTCAGATATATACGGCTATTCAAATTTTCTTTTACTTATTTACTTGCAACAGAGAGTGTCTACCTAGCATTCAGTGAAATTAAATGAGTTAATAGATATTCAAAACCTCGCAAGTGAAGGCACACTTTACCATTCAGTATACTTTTTGTCTCTTACAGTCAAATTAATATTTTCTGATATTCTTGGGCATTCAAACTTCTTTATCTAGGGGAGAGGAAACATTGGAGAGCACGCCCACTCCTTGTAGGCATTTGCCCCCAGACTATTTTCTAGTTGCCAGCGCCCCCTCTCCCCGAGCTATTAGATTTCTCACTGGATGTTAGTGAATCTTGCAGCAAAACAGGTAGAAGGACCCTGACTTGCGTGGGGGCTGGGATCGGACGCTCTGTCTCCCTTTCTTTCCGTCCTTGCCCGGAGCTGACTAGCTTCTACGCTTGCCCTCCGGGCGCTGAGGGTCGGGCCGCAGGACAACGAGGCGCCGAGGCTGCCGTCCGCGCTCGCCCGGGGGCGCTGTTAGCCAGCACCTGGCGCGGGAGGTGGGTCGGCTCGGGAGGCCGCGGCTCCCGGTTCTGCCGGCGCGCGGAGGGGCGAATCCTAGGCTGCGAGGTCGCCGCCCCCGCCCCTCGGCCCAGCCCCTCTGCCTGCCCAGGAGAGGGGAGTGGCCGGGCGCCTCCTGCCGCAGCCGAGCGCTCCGCAGCCACCGGACACTTCACAGCCGGCCGCGCAGGGAAGCCGCAGGCGCGGCGCGAGAAGGCGGTGCCAGAGCACGGGGCGCACAACTGGCCGGCAGCCGCGGGACAGCAGCCGACGAGCAGCCACCTCCGAACAGCTGCGGGTGCGAGCATCGCTGGGATCGCGGCGGGAGCCCCGCAACCTCGGGCAGGAACCACGTTCGAGAGCGCCACCGGAGCGGGAGGACGACGAGGAGGCGGTGTGGCGCCTGGCGAGGTAGCGCGAGCGCTTCCCTCTTTCTTTTGCCCTTCCGGCTCGGTCCAGCTGCCGCCCGCGAGGGGCGGTAAAGCGGGCGCTCCGCGCCATTCTGCTTGGGGTCCCCTTGACCCTGCCGCGCCCCATAGAGCTCTCGTCACTGGGGTCTGCCGCTCTCCTACGGGGCGAGGCGGCTTTGCGGCGAGAACCAGCGCACGCAGGAGGTCGCGGAAGGTGGTTGTGACTCCGCAGATGCTTTGGGGGAGGGTGGGAGAGAAGGGCTTGCAAACTAACTTGCTCTCACTTTGCCCTGTCCCCCTTGTACCTGTGGGCAAAGTGGAATCCAAATTTTCCCCTTGTTCACCTACACCCCTTCCATCCTTTTTGCCCACAGCTGTTTCCTGGCTCCTTGGCTCTGTGGAAGGACTTGGTGTGCGTTCCTCCGGGAACGAAAGCGGAGGGAAAATAAAAGGGCGTCCTGGGGAGTGGGATTCAGGTACCGTGTGCCCTGGTTGCGGCGGCGAGAGAGCAGGGCCGAAGACCCGACGGGGCTCCCAGTGCGTGCAGCTGCTCTTTCCTCCTTTGTTCAGCCGCAGTGGAGGGGGCTGCCCTGGGTCTCGTTTCCTGCCCTGGATGGGATTGATTCATAGTCCCGGCGAGGGAAGGGGAGGGGGCGGGGCTGAATGGAAACCAGATTAGGAGCGGGAGGGAGCCCGGAGGGTGCTGGGCGGGGAAGAGGGTTGGGGACGGGATGATGAGAGAGCACTGAGGAGTTGATTATAAACACACGTTTTTGTCCAAGGGCTGTGTGGGTTTCTGGAGTTTATTTGTAGTGCTTTGTTCAGGCTGCGGCCGAGTGTCTGTTGCTGCAACAAGTTGTGTCCTTCCTTTAGTTCTAGGCGTTCTGAATGTCCGTTGATGAAATCAAATCTAGTTAGTTATAAGGGAAGGTTTCTTTTTTTTCTTTCTATAAATCAGGTTATTTCTGTGTATGTGTGTGCCTGTGGATCTGTGGGTGTAGCTGGTGGAGATTGACTCAAATAGGTAGAACGCAAATTTTATGGACTCAAGTTTGAGATAAAATAATGTTCTCGACTGTAATATGGTATTACATTTTTTCAGGAATGCTTTGGGGGAAGCCACCAGAAAATTAGACGTTGCTAAATTAATGAATTGTATTATGTAATGCTGAATTGAAAAACCCTTTTACAGTCTTTCCCGAAAAACCACACTACACACACACACACACACACACACACACCCCTTTGGGTTTTTAGAGTTGAGGGGCCATGGCTTTCAAGTGTGATGTACTTTCTTTTTCCCCAGGTGGATCGTCTGGAATAAGAAAGAAAACACTTACCATTATGGTGAATGGGATTTTTTTTTGGAGGAGGTGGAACTAAATGTAGTATGTCAGGCATTTGTTAAGTGACCCTTTGCTAGACTGGAATCAGGAAGCCCCAGAGGACTGGCTGACCCTGAGAGTAGTGGGGGGTGGAATGATGAGTGTGTTTTGAATGGCGTATTCCAAGCAAAACTTTGGGGAGGAGGCTGACATTTCCAGGCATTCATGGTTTGTGCCTATGGGACACTGGTGGAAGGATCCCAAAATCAGACCGAGGGTTAGAATTACTGTGGTATTGGGAGAAACTCTGATAACAGTCAGGATGCAGACAGGACTGGGAAGGGGCTTCGTGCCGCCCCTTTGACAAGCCTGACGTCCGCCATTAAACCACCCTTTTGGTCATTCATTTTAAGATGATCCAAATTGGAAAACATCTTAACCTTAGAAGGAGAATTAGGAGCTTATTCTTGGGGAGAAAAAAAGTTTCCTGCCCACCAAGTGGTAATGGAAAAGAACTGTACATGCTATTGCTGAGGATTTGCCTTTTTCGTGGGGGATGTGGTCAGATTTTCAGGCCAGGCTGAAAAACAGTGGGGCTTGTCCTCAGGAGCCATTATGATGTGAAGTTGAAGTGGGATGTTCTCCATCTGTCAAACTGTTAGTTGTTATAACTAACACATTGCCTGGTAAAACATTGTGCCATGGGCAGCTAACAGAGAGAGACTTATTTGTTATGGTGGTTTTACCGTGTTGGACTTTTCATTTATGTTGTGAATTGTTTTGTAAAAAACACCACAGTTGGATCCTCTCAAGTACTCTTTGGGATATACGTTAAGGAAACGCAAAGCCTAAAAACACTACTGCTATGGAGACACACATAGGAGATCCTCTTAAAGAGCTGGAGTTCTGGCCCCGGCTGACTCAGTGCCCAGTTGTGTGATAAGGCTGGCAGCAGGCTGTGCCCCTTCATGTAATGAATCATCACTCTGTCAAGCCTGGAGATGAAGACTGACTTGCCCCGGTTACTGCACAGTTATGCAAAGCAACAAGGAGCATCCTCATCTGTGGGGAAGGAGTCTACACCTAAGTTGGGAGATTTGGTGGGGAGGTGGTGGTGATGTTTGGCTAAGAATGATCCTCTGAGTGTAGCATCCGTGTTTTTAGCATGTACTTCCTTTTGTCGTTCCCTTCTACTATTCTTAATAGTTGTACTTTTGGATTTTTATTAAGTAGCCTAACAGTAATTATAGCTATCATTTAGTAAATGTTTACTGTGTGCAAAGGGTTTTGTATACGGTACTATGTTAATGACTCCATAAGGGGGATACAGCACTTTAACAACTCTGTCAAAAAACAAACAAAAATCCATTGCCATGGAGTTTATAGCCTATAGCCACCTTATAGGACAGAGTAGAACTGCCCCATAGGGTTTCCAAGGCTGTAAATCTTTACTGTAGCAGACTGCCACATCTTTCTCCACGGAGCGGCTGGTGGGTTCAAACTGCCAACCTTTCGGTTAGTGCTTTAACCACTGTGCCACCAGGGCTTCTTAAGTGGGTATCATCTCCATGTTACAGTGGAAACTGAGGCCTAGAGAAGTTAAGTAACTTGCCTCTTATACTGTACTTGTACAGGTAATTAATAAACAGTGGAGGTGTGATTTGAACTCCAGTTCATCTGATTCCAAAGTTTATATTCTAAGTAGTACACTGTATGGTATATCTTTTAATAATAGGGATAATAGCAATTTGATTACTTATTAGCCTTTTGAAGATTTCAAAAAACTTTCATATATATTATTGTTATTGATCCTTTCAAAAACTGGGAGATGGCAGACCAGATGCCTTTTCATATTTTCATATATGAGAACTGGTAGTCACAGAAGCTGAGCGACTTGTTCAAGGCCACACAGCTACTACGTAGTGTAACAGGGATTAGAATTCACCTGGTTTGGAAGGCCAGATTAGTGATATCACAATGCTTAAAACTATATTGTTAAAAAGCTGTATGTTATGCAGTAGTCTGTATGAATTAGCTTTAAGTGAATGAAACTACATTTTTAAAAAGTTAGGCTGCCAACATTTAAAAATAATTTCTTCTTTGGAACATTTAAAAGTGGGGGAATGGGGTAGATCTTATTTAGTTTTCCAGCATTTTGTGTTTATTGATATCTGTTTTAGCCCTTTTTATCTTACAGTGTTTAATAGGACACTGCACTTTGCTTCTTAACTGAGACCCAGTGCCCTGGAGTGTCTTTTTAGAAGAGAAATAAGGAGGGAAAGAACGTGATTATAAAGAGGAAGTGGGACATCAGAATTGGAAATACGCAGCGGCAGGCCATAGATTTTCCCAGCACATGCTTTTTGTCCTGGCAGTAGCCTTTTTACAGAGGACATTCTTCCTTAGCGAAGTGTCAAGGGTCTTTCTTTACAGTATCCTCTGAGATCATCAAATTTCTGAGCTCTGTGGGAACATGCATTCTACATGATTTCTGTGCTCATCTTTTCCCCTAGGAGAAGTGAACTAGTTTAGGCGTCAGCATGAAAGGGGAACGGAAGTGGTATCTGGCCTTGGAGTGGACAGGAGGCAGCAGACCTTGACCCAAGAGTGGTCACCAAGTTCAGGAGCGGAACGGATTTTAACACTTGGC